GATATGAAATGCCATTTGTTGAGAAGTTAAAAAGCAAAACGAAAACGAGAAATGCCACGCCAGGAATCTTTCAGTGGCGGAGGTTGTAGCGGTGGTTGCGGCGTCGGACATTCGGTGCGGCAGCAGCTTGCACGGCAGCTTGTGCAGCTGCTTGGACAGCAGCAGCTTGTGCGGCGAGACCGTTGACGGGGGTTGCTTCTTCGTATCCAGTCCGAATCGCTGCGGCGATCGTCGTTGCCAAATGCACGGGGTAGTCGGGGAGCAAGCCCTGAATGATATGGCCGTGTCCATCTGAGGTGCGGTACAGATCGTCACCGAGCAGCGTAATGGCAGGTCCATGGTTCCACGGCTGGCCCAAGTTGAAAAGCGGCAGCTCGGCAGCCATCGCAGCGACCTCGTCGCGCACAACCACACCCACGGGAAGGCGCACGTTCCCGTGTAGAGCATGGTTGCCGCAGCTCATGGCGTCCGTGATCGCAATGTTGTTGCCAAGACGACGGTAGAGCACAGCGAGCGCGGGCATCTGCGCCAAGATGGGGTTCATGTTGGGGTCAAGCGTCGCCGCGTTCCGCAGCGGGTAGAGGACGAGGACAAGGACCGTCTGGAGCACTGGAAACTCGTCGAAGAGCGCGCGTGTGTGCGGGTCGTACGTGTTGAACGACGTGTTGTGCGTGACGGCGACCTCGATCATGCAGCGGGGCAAATTGCTGCGGGAGTCGCCGCGGATCGCGCGTCTCGGTCTAATCGCGAGGTCGGGTCTGCGGGCGTGGCCGGCATGGTAGTAATCCACGTCTGTGGTGGACTTTAACGGCGTTCCCATCAAGGCGGCGTCCAAAACGCAGTTCAGACGGAAAATGGCCTCCTGGTGCACTTCGCCAGGCACCTCGGTGATGAAAATGTCGCCGCGGGTCGTCTGGGTAATGACGTCGCCCTCGTACGTCGCTCGGAAGACGGCGAGGCCGGACAAACGACCGTCCAGCCAGCGACGGAGGAGCACGTCTTCGGCGATGAGGAGGTCACCGTCTTCGCCGTTGGCCTTGCGCCGCATGAACTCGTGGATGGCAGCCATGACGCCGGCCTCCGTGACGCGTCGGTGCATCACGGCGAACGTCGCTGGGGCCGCTGGGGTAGCCATGCGTACAAAAAGAAGCAGACTCGCCACCAAAGAGCATGGTCGAGAAGACGACGTGGGACGCGACGGACTCGGGACGGGGCGCAATGCGAAATGACCACCAGCGCTTGCAACTCTGTTGTCTGGCTTCTAGTATGCGCTACAAACCCATAGCTTTTGTAAATCGAACGAGGGTTTGCTGCTTCAAGCGCGTGTCGACGGCCGCGCCGTGGTGAGGTGTCCACTGCGGACGCGAGTATCGCATATCATACAAACGCCAAGTCGACGAATTCTCTGGTTTGAATCAGGGGTAGGGGTCGCAATGTCGCGAGTGGTCGAACGATCCACCGACTGCACTGCAACCCAGTGGCCGCAAGAGCCGCCTCATCGGATCTCGTGTATGTCGATCTGATTCTCCTGACATTGATGGCTCTCTGGTCAGTGGCTGCTGAGCTTATTTGGTGTCGGATAAAGCTACTCCAGGTCACACGACGTGAGAATATGATGCCGGCTCGTCGACGCGATGGGAACTGCCGCCGGCGTCAAAAGCTCAGTTGCCGTTGACAGGATGCGGTCCAACTGCTGCAGGGCCGGCAGCAGAAGAGAGATCACGCGCCCAAGACGCATGTGCCAGTAGTACGACCCAGCCAGCGAGCAACTCGAGCTAGCCAAGATTGATCAATTGGGCCGCATCCTCTCAACGGCAACTGAGCTTTTGACGCCGGCGGCAGTTCCCATCGCGTCGACGAGCCGGCATCATATTCTCACGTCGTGTGACCTGGAGTAGCTTTATCCGACACCAAATAAGCTCAGCAGCCACTGACCAGAGAGCCATCAATGTCAGGAGAATCAGATCGACATACACGAGATCCGATGAGGCGGCTCTTGCGGCCACTGGGTTGCAGTGCAG